GTGTCAGTACCCTCAGCACCAGTACCTCCAGCGACTCCAGAACCTCCAGCGCGAGCACCCTCAACAGCTCCAGGACCTCCAGCTCCAGCGCCACCAGGACTAGGCCCTCCAGCAGCTCCTGAACCTCCAGCGCCAGCACCCTCAGTAGCTCCAGAACCTCCAGCGTCAGTACCGCCAAGCTCAGCACCCCCAGACCCCTCACACGCAGGCTCAGCACCACCAGGCTCTACACCCTCAAGCTCCGCACCCTCAGGCTCAGTACCCCCAGACTCAGCACCCCCAGGCTCCGCACCCCCAGGCTCAGCACCCCGAGCAGGACCACTCGCAGGAGGACCTGAGTCACCAGTGACCTCAACCGGCGCAGTCAAGGGAGGAGGGTCTACCTGAGAAACACCTGAAGGAGCAGGACCGGGAGCGGGGAGGGGGTCTACCTGGGGAGCACCTGGAGCAAGGAAGAGCGGCGGGGGGGGGAGCGAGGCAGTGCGGTAGGGGAAGAGACGGTAAAAGGGAACCGACTCGTCGAACGTGACGTCCTGAGACGCAAAGACACGGCGCGAGGTGGGGTGGTAAAACTGCCAACCAGGCGCGTCAGGGACAAAGCCAAGGAAGACACAGGGAACAGCGCGGGCGGAGAGCTTGTCCGCGGTGGTATCGCGGACAAAGGCACGAGCACCCCAGACCCGGAAACGCGACGCATCGCCAACCTTCCCCGTCCACAGCAGTGTGGGCGAGGTCTCCGGCAAGGAGACACGGGGCCAGAGGTTGAGCTGATGCGCGGCGTACCGGACCGCAAACGGCCACAGAAAATGGGGGGCAGCCGCATGGATCATGGAGGTACGAGCGACCTCCATGACTAAGCCAATGCGGCGCTCAGCAACCCCATTCTGCTGCGGAGAGGCCGGAAGCGTGAACGACTGGGTGATGCCGTGCTCCGCACAGTAGGCTGCCAAGAGGTCGGAGGAGAACTCACCACCTCTGTCAGAGTGCAGACGCAGGACAGGAAAGTCCGACCGGAACCGCTCGCGGAGCTGGAGACGAACAGCGCGGATCCAGGGGATCAAAACAGCAGGGACGTCCCCCTTGCTCTGCAAGGGGAAGACCGTGGTGTAACGCGTGTAGTCGTCGACGACCAGCAGGAAGTACCGCTCGCGGCCCTGTCCCTGGACGCGGGCTGGGCCCCACACGTCCAGATGGAGCGTCTGCAGTGGAGCCTCTGTGGGAGGAAACGAGGAGGAGTGAGGAGCGGCGCGCTGCCGCCCCTCGACGCAAGGAATGCAGGGCGGCGCAGGCGAGGGAGGGAGGGCAGGCAGGGACCTGGGAAGACCAGAGACCAGGGAGCGAGAGTGCATGCTACGCAGGCGAGGCAAGGAGGGGTGACCAAGGCGGTGGTGCCACAGGAGAGTGTCGTGCGACAAAGCGCGACACTCGCAGGGGGCCGCCAGCTGACCAGACGCAGACGCAAACGCAGACGCAGCTACCTGAGGGGACTCAGTGGTCAGTGTGTACAGACTCGAGCCAGGTGCACGGGTGAACGTGGCCAAGTGCCGGCCCGTCCTAGCACACGTACAGTGAGTCACTCGCTGACTCGCAGGAGTGAACTGGTCAACCCCCCCATCCTGGAGGTCAGCTCCACTCACCAAGTTCGTAGAGAACGAGGGGAGGTAAAGACCTGACAGCGAGCCGGACGGGACGGCCGGACACGGCAGAACCGTGGAATAGTGGGCAAGGACTGGACCCCCAGAGGGGTCCGCCAGGGAGACCGGGACTGGCCGACGGAGCGGCGTAAGTGCGGTGCAGTCGCGAAAGAAGGAGCGGGAAGCTCCTGAGTCAAGGGTGAAGGTGTGCGAGACCGCAGTGGGCGCAGTACCAGAGAGAGCAGACACAGCAGCACCTGATGCCACGGCCTCACCAGTACCTAGAGCAGTAGACGTACTAGCACCGAGAGCAGCAGCCTCACCAGCACCTAGAGCAGGAGACGCACTAGCACCTAGGGCAGCAGCCTCACCAGGGTCAGGCGGTACGCACAGGCAACAGGCACGGTCAGCACTAGTAGACAATGCATACATGGCAGTGAGAATAGCATCATAGTCAAGCGCAAAGATATCTACCCTCTGTCTATGCAGCTCCAGCCACGTGGGGAGCTCAGCCTCGTCGCCAAACACTGTGCGCCAGTCGTCGCTCAGACGGGCGAAGCAGCGGGACTGTGTGTGACCAAGCGTCCCACAAGGCTGACCAGTCCTAGCACCTGTGCGAATGACGTACGGGCAGCGGACTGTACGCGTAGACCTGCTACACTGAGCGTACCACTCCTGGAGCTGCCGGGGCGTAAGTGTCTCACGTGGACGTCCCTGCAGCTGCAGCTGGCCACTGCCAGACGCTCCCAACTGACCAGCTCCAGGGCGACAGCTACGACGGCTACCGCGACAACCCCAGCTAGTATACCACTCACTAAGCTGCTGAGGCGTCAGAGGCTCGCGTGAATGTCGCTGGAGCTGCATCTGGCCACCTGCCAGTAGCAGTAGCGCAGGAAAGGCAGGCGCGGCAGGCAGGCAAGCAAGCAGGCAGGCAGGCAGGCCGGCAGGTAGGCAGGCAGCCAGGCAGGCAGGCAGGCAGGCAGACAGGCAGGCAGGTAGGCAGGCAGGCAGGCAGGCAAGTAGACACGCAGGCAGACAGGCAGGCAGGCAGGCAGGCCGGCAGGCAGGCAGGCAGCCAGGCCGGCAGGCAGGCAGGCAGACAGGCAGGCCGTCAGGCAGGCAGGCAGGCGCTCACCAAAGGCTGGGAGAGCAGGGCCGGCGCTCGAGTAGGCGCACGACAGCGGCGACGTCGGGGCCGCAAAACCGGCTGCAGAGCAGGGCCGAAACAGCTGGAGGGCGCTGCCGCGTCAGCGGCAGTAGCAGGGTGGGGCCGCGTCAGCGGCAGGTCGGGGTCGTGGCAGCTGCAGGGCGGGGCCGCATCAGCGGCAGGTCGGGGCCATGGCAGCTGCTGGGCGGGGCCGCATCAGCGGCAGGTCGGGGCCGAGGCAAAGGGCCGCGCGCGGCCGCGCTAGGGAGTAGCGGGCCGCGCGCGGCTCGGCGCGGGCTGTTGCGGGCCGCGCGCGGGCCGTGCGAGGCAGGAGCAGGCCTCGCGCGGCTCGGCACGAGCTGCTGCGGGCCGCGCGCGGGCTGCGCGAGGCCGTAGCAGGCCGCGCGCGGCTCGACGCGGGCTGCGCGGGCTCGGCGCGGGCTGCGCGCGGCAGCTGCGAGCTGCGCGCGGCTCGGTGCGGGCTGCGCGCGGTTGCAGCGGGCTGTGCGCGGCTCGGTGCAGGCTGCGCGCGGCTGCAGCGGGCTGCGCGCGGCTCGGTGCGGGCTGCGCGTGGCTGCAGCGGGCTGCGCGCGACTCGGGGCGGGCTGCGCGATCTCGGTGCGGGCAGCGCGCGGTAGCAGCGTGTGTGCGGGCCCGACAGGCGTGTAGAGGCGGCGCGCGGGCCTTACGGGCCTCTAGGGGAAGCGCGCAGGCAAGGCAAGGCAAGGCAAGGCATACAAGGCAAGGCAAGGCTACGTGGGGTAGCGCGGTAACCGCAGCGGTAGGTGGGCCCGAAAAAAACGGTCCTACGGACCTTAGTGCTCTGAAACCATGTTAGAATCTAGCAGCAGGAATGGGTGAACTAACAGGATGCAGGAGTACAAGTAGTAAACCCTAACTAGGTTGTACCCCATATGGGCTACCCCACTACAGCCTAGACAATATGCAGCACATATAGTTTGACACGCATCTGGACCGTCGGAAGCAGACGGCATCGGGCAGCTGCAGGCAGGATGGTTTTGGCGGGAACAGTTACGAAACTGTACGCGCCGCACGGTTGGGAGTGAATTTGAATAAGGGAATGTACCCCTTAGAGTACATGGCTAGATAGGTCTGTTCGCATTCCCTTGTACTCTTATTTATATGACCTTGTTTGCATGTTTTTATCATCTCAAGCATTTACATTCACTCTGCTATTGAGATCAAGGGCCCACCAACTATTCTCACTGCGTGCGAACCTTCCTGGGTAGATCCTGGGCTACGATCAATTTCTGATCGCAGCATGACCTACTAATTGTTTTTGCATCAGCTGGTCTTCACAAAATGGTAAGTCAGAGATTACAACAAACCAAGAAAGACAAAACAAGGGAGGGGGGAGAAGGGGAGAAGAGGGGCTGTGAACAGGAGAAAACTTACCAGCCCGGACAGGAAGGTCTGATATCACGCAATGCTGTTACCAGCTTGGCTGCTTCTATCCCTCTTGAGAACTTGCCAGCTATCCTGCCTGGTTGGCACCTGCTCAACGACCTTCCTGAGAAGCACAGCAAAAGCAACCGATCCTTGTCCCTACCAATACCGTATTCCCCCGGATATAAGACCCTAGGGTCTTATGCTAAATCCCTAAAAAAAATGGGGGGGTCTTAACAGAGGAAAAAAAAATTAACACCCGGGTCTTTTCATATGGCACTACCTTTTTTTAGTGTTTTCAACACCTAAGCTAATACTGAAGTTGTGGGTTTGCTTTTGGTGATCTTTTGACCAATCAAAACGTATTCGCCCGTCACAGTAAAATTGGCCCCTCTGACGCAGCAATTTCGCTCTCTGACACACCAATTCCGCCACCTGACGCAGCAAACTAGCCCCCTGACGCAGCAAATCAATCGCCCTGACACGGGAATTGACCCCCCGAAAGCCGAATTCGCACTATAGAATGCCTCTGTTTCGGACGAAACAAATAAAAAGTACATGGAAAACACCCCTATAGGGGAAAAGGGGGGGTCTTATATTGATTACCCCCCAAAAGGGGGGTATAACGATAAAGTGGTTAAATAAAAGACCCTCCCCGTATTAGGTACCCGGGGGTGTTGTATTTTGGGGGGGTCTTCTATCCGGGGGAATACGGTACGTCCCTAAACTCTTCTCAGATGTGGCGGTTGATTTGGCTTGGCTCAATAAGAGAAATTGTAAGGTACGGAGTGGCCGTTGGAATGTTTTGGAGTTTAGTTGGGAAATTCTGACGTGTAGACAGGAAATTCTGACACGTCGTTGGAAGATTCTGACGCGTTGGTGGAAGATTCTGAAATGTAGCTTGGAGGAATTTCTGACACGTAGTTGGAAGGTCCTGTAACGTCGCTGAAAGAATCTGAAATGTCGCTTGAAGATTCTGAAGTGCCGCTTGAAGGTGTTGTGGTGGACGAAGCTGTGGTGGTGCCGGACGGCGCTGAGGTGGTGCCGGACGGTACTGAGGTGGTGCCGGACGGTGCTGAGGTGGTGCCGGACGGTGCTGAGGCGGTGCCGGACGGTGCTGAGGTGGTGCCGGACGGTGCTGTGGTGGTGCCGGATTTTGCTGCTGGCACGCAGGTGCCACCGACTGCATTGTAGCCCGACTTGCACCTGCACTCCATTTCAGAGCCACCGGTGCGTTTGACACACTCTTTGTTGGAAGGGCAGCCTGTAGTGACACACGACGCTTCTGCAAGGACAGGCAAGGAGAGAGAGGGCAGGTGAGCACATGGGTCCATCCAGACAGGGAAGCATTCAAAGCGAGCAGGGTTTGGGTTGGGGGAGGAAAGAGTTGCAGCAACGAGACCATGCTGAGCGAAACCATACGAAGCTTACTGGGAGGCTGGCACTTGTTGTTGACAACGCTGTAGCCATTGTTGCACGTGCACGTCACTGCCGCGCTGTTGTCAGTGGGTGGGGTGCAAACGTTAGCACCGGCAGGGCAGATCGCATACTGACACAAGTTATCTGCAGCACAGCGCCGTGCGAACAGGGGGAAAGGCGGAAAGGGTAAATCAGAGATGAGGCGCAGCAACCCACCGAGTGGGAGAGTGTGAGGTGTGAGAGTATGTGTGTGTGTGTGAGAGAGAGAGAGAGAGAGAGAGAGAGAGAGAGAGGGAGAGAGAGAGAGAGAGAGAGAGAGAGAGAGAGAGAGAGAGAGAGAGAAGAGAGAGAGAGAGAGAGAGAGAGAGAGAGAGTGTGTGTGTGACTTTGCGCGGTGCTAAATGGAGGAGAGGCGTGCGGGGCAAGGCACTAGGGGACGTACCAATGACGCAGAGGGCGGAATTGGCTGCACCGGAGATATACTTCTCACTGCACACACAGGGGAAGGGTGCCACGAGTGCAACGATTGTTGGCCAGGTGGACGGGCGAACGAGCGGCATCAAGAGCATACGAGCATGATGGAAGCAAGGCGAGCGAGAATGAAAGGCGCAACTCTGTTGGCCATTCGCGAAAACGTCCAGCGACTGCCCTTTGCAGTCAGAAGCCTGGAAGAACCGGATCAAGCGGCAAGCAGCCTTGCCAGACATGCTTGCTTGTTGCCACGGCACCACCACCCGCGCCTTCAGAGAAGGCGACATGGCAGGAAGGTTGACACAGCGGCGCGGCGAGAAGGAAAATGCGCGGCCGTTAATCAGCATCGGCATGGCAATCTGCACGGAGACCGATATGGTCGCTGCTGCTTGCGACGGCTGCAGGAGACACGCTGCAAGAGAGGGGCATGTGGCATGCGGGGGGCACGGACGCAGGGGCGTGAGTTCAATGGGCGTCCATCGCGAGTGCGCGCTGTCGTGTGGCGCATCGAACGCATGGCGGCGTGAGCACCGGGATGCGCATAAGAGCACGAGGGGCGAGAGAGCGACGCGAATGGCGGAGCGTACCGGCGATGACGGCGACGATGGCGAGCAGCGCACGCACGGCCTTGCCATTCCCCATGCTGCTGGTTCCGACGGACGCCATTCGCTCTTCGACCTTGATCGCCACGAGAAATCAGAGAGCAGGAGTAGAGCAGGAGTGAGCAGCGGAGTTATCCGAGAGAAAGAGGTGCTAGAGTCGTGATTGGTGCTAACTGGAAAAGCAGAAGAGGTGACGAGAGCGATCGGGCACGATCGAGCAGAAGTCGTGATGGGCATCGCGCAGCGAGCCTAGCGTGCGGCGCATCATCCGCTCCACGGAGCTTCTGTGCCGCGAGGCGGGAGGGACCTCTGTGGCGGACGCAGCCGCGACTGGCGCGGCAAGGCCTTGGCCATGTGCGACCGCTGCGACAGGAGTCGCTGCAGGGAACGCGTTGCTTTGGGCGCCATTGTGGGCTTCGATTGGGCGTTTCGTGGCTGTGCGCGAAAGGAAGGACGACTTGAAATTTATTGGAGGGAAAGTCGGAAAAATCCGCACTGAGGGCCCGTTCTTACCATGCAAGGTTCGACTTATGACGATGTGGCGAAGAACTTTTCGAAACTTAAGTCGAGCTTTCGCGAAATTCGTAACCATACAGAAGTCTGATCTCTCGCTTTGTTCGGACTAATGGGTAGGAAGTTCCACCATCTATATCAAACCACAAATGGGAATGGGATGAGGAATCGCGTTCGAGAGGCTTATTGGTGGAGAGGTCAAGAGGAATGTGACACCTCGCTAGAAGGCCCCGTTCCAGCTGACTCCCGCCCTTGCAAATGTCAGCGACCACAATGATGCAAGGCGCAGCATCAACAAGCGGCTGGAAACGGTGGTTGCTAGTGACTCTCTAGCGAAGAAACCGTTATTGGTGGCATCGCCAAGAGTCACAATGCTTGTACAGCCCTCGTAGTACACTGCTAGCCATGATAATATTCCTGTTTACATTTACTAGGACAAGAACTCTTGAGAATACTGTGGTGATAACGAATTTACAATCATGTGTATGCAGCCCCTGCCCCGCAGAACCATTTCCCTTACACCATGCTCCGCACCGCAGCTTCCGCAACGGAAAATGCACTCGACCACATTATGGTGGGAGCTTTCATTTCACAACAGCACCTCCATCCTATTTGACTATATCTCCAAACAAATCTCATTTTAGGGGGTAAGGAGGGTAATGCAGGTTTGACTTATGGATGCTGGAGCTCGAAGTGCAAGCGAAGCACCTACACAAACTCAGTTCGTGTCCGCAGGGATGACATGTCAACATTGGCAGTGTCAACCCGAAGCGCGCAAAAATAGAGTGTCAAGCTTTGTAGCTTCGGTGTCAAATCGAAGCGCAGCAGGGAATCCTGCGACGGAAGCTTATTGGTTGGGCACAAGTTTGAGTACACAGGCGACCCCTTGCACGGACTTGCAGTCGCACGAAGTTCAACATCCGTCGATTAAGCAGGTGTGGTCGTCTGTAATCTCGACGCCATCAATGTGGTTGGTTGGATAGTTTCTTTATTTTCGCAGAGCTGGAAGTCCGACGAATTTTACTGGCTGGCAGTTTGGTGTCGTTGACACTCTGCCAACAATGTTGGCAAGTGTCAAAATCACAAGTTGACACTCAAAAGCTTGACATGTCATCCCTACGGACACGACCTCAAAGCAATCATATATATACCACAGGTATATTTTCTTCTGAGGTACAATGGATGTAGTACGCGGAGTCTGCCCGATTGGCAAAATATTGCGGGAGAACGATACGAAGCGCACGCTGCTGTTCTCCTCCTCGAATTCTGCAGCAGGCAGTTCCAACCGTCCGCTCAGCACTGCGCTTTGCGCCGCGCCATGGGTTGAATCCAGGCAGCCGAGACAAAACGGGTTGCAGCGTTGATACAACCAGTACTTTCCCTCGAGGAAGAAGCACTGTCTGTGCCGCACACAACGACCTGATACACTGTCATGGTAACACTGACGGCTAGACGGCCACTGGCCGTCAGAGGTTTCTGAACGAGGAGGGTTGACCCTAAACGATGGCTACATAATTCTACGAAACGTGACGCAAGAAATCCAATCCGAGCGTCTTACAGCTGTGTTGAGAAGGGAAGCAAGAGGAAGTCGAGGCATCACAACACCACCACAAGGGAGTCGAGCGCGCCGCGGCAATGGCGGCAGCGATGGTGCGTCGTCGACAACAACGACGACGCCCGTTGGCTGATGCAACCGCATCGAGCCCCGACCTCCGAGTCGGCGTCCTCGTCAAACCGCGCGCTAGCCTCGCACGCACCTTCGCGGTGGTGGGTCACGCAGTGGGTTTTCACAACAAGTGAAACTCCCTTCCGCCCCGTCCCTGCTCCTAGTTTCAGTCCAGGTTTTAGGTTTCGGTCCAGCGGGTCATCGAGTATTGACTCAATCGCCGCATTCCCACCGTTAACGGATTCCGTTTGTCGTCGAGTCGAGTCGGGTCGGCCCGAGCCGAGTCCAGTCGCGTCGCATCGGACTTGCCGCGCTGGAGAAACCGCAATGGCCACAGCGCGGGTGTGGCGGGTCAAAACGCGGAGGACGCTTCTTGCGGTCGCGCGGGAACGGGAACTCCGCAGGGACGTTCACGTCTGTTGCCGTGCTCCTCCCGCCCGGCTAGTCGTTTCCGGAGGAAGAGAACGGAAACCCCGAGGTATTCATGTCTCTCGCAGTACGGTCCGGTTTTCCCATAGCACTCGACGACTTTTTGAGCTGCCTCTAAGCCTGTACTGGCACGACATAGCAGCGCGACATCATAGCAAGCCATTGTAGCAGAAATAACACGGGCATAAGAACTTCTTGCGCTGGCGACTCGCGACGATAGCACGTAATGTCTTCCCTTTGACCGTCTCCGTCGCCGTCGCCGTCGCGGTCGCAACGTCTCGTTCTCCCTTTGCAGCTTTTTTTTTTTCCCTCCGAACGGTGTGCGCAAGGTAACTCTCACTTGCAAACGGCGTTTCGCGGCTCTTAGTCGGCCCGGTTATTAGGAGGCTAATAGTCTCCTAATCCATCCTCCGCGCGGCAGCCATGCCAGAACCGGCCGCGCACAGCGACTCGCGCCCCTCCCCGCGAGTCACCTCCTTCTCGCGCAAGGCCTTGCACGCCGTAACGCAGGCATATGGCGGAGGCGGAGGCGGAGGCGGAGGCGGAGGCGGAAGCGGAAGCGGGAGCGGGAGCGGAGGTGCTCTGGGCTCCGTCGGTCTGCACGCGCCCCCCGGCTCCCGCCTTCCCTCCGCCTTGCAAGTCGCGAAAGGCGGCGGCGGCGGATCCACCGCGTACGGCCCTCTCTCTCCGCCGTCCCCGCATCACCCTGACAGCGCCAACCAGGGTGTGCAGCCCGAATCGCCCGCTTCTACTTTCCTGCACACGCGCGACCCGTCGACGTCGGGATTCTCCTCCTCCTCGTGCTCCTCCGCCGTTTCTTCCGCTTCCGGCGGCTCCGCCTTGTCTTCCTACCACGCTCCCCCCTTCTGCGCCGATCTCTCTGCCGCTTCCGCCGCGTCCGCGGGCACAGGCGCGAGCGCGGGGGGGGATCTCTCCGCAAGCCCTTCCCCTTGCGCCACTCCGAGCAGCGCCGCCAGCCCCGCCGCCAGCGGCGGCCCCCGCCAACGAGGACTTCTCTCCGCCGCTGCTGCCAACGGGCGGCACACGATCATCAACAACGGCGGTGGGGAAAGCGGGGGAAGCGGCGGGAGCCTTCCGGGGAGCCCCCGCGCGCGCATGTTCGCGCGCACAGGCAGCGGCGGGGGAGTGGGAATCAGGCCCCGCGGCACTCACGGGGGAGCGGCGGCGGGAGCCACAAAGAGCGGATACGGACAGGCGGAACGGGAAGGGAGTGGAAGAGCAGGCACGGGCGGGCCAAGCGCGCTGAGCCGACTCGGCCACGGCAACCACAGAAGTGGCAGCGGCTCCAGTGCTGGCGGCGCGGGCGGCGCTGGTGGCGCTGCGGATGATAACGATTTTCTGTTCAGTCCTCTGGGGCCCTCCTCCCCTTCCTCCTCCGCATGTGACGCGATCGGCAACTTTATAGCGAAGCAGCATCGGACGGCAGGCCACGATCGCATGTCGTCGGTCGATTCTAAATACTCCTCGGCAGCGTCGGACGCGCCGTGCTTCGCGGAGGAAGAAGGGCTCGAGAGTCCTCGTGGCGCACACGAATCTGGCGGCGGCGGCGCGGGTGGCGGGGGAGGCGGAGGCGCCGTGTGGAGCTCGTCGCGCGGACGGGAGAGCCGAAGTAACTCCGCGCTGGCTCTTGCCGCGGCCTCCGCCGTCGCTGCCGCTTCCGCTGCTGCTGGTGCTGCACCGGATGGCAATCCCCACCATCGCCGCACTTCCCGCAAGCCGAGTCGCGATTTGCCCTCCCCGCCGATGAGCGAGATTCCGTCGATCGCAGAGGGGGCGGACGATCCGTACGGGACTTCTGACGACGCGGCGGGGGAAGATCGAGAGGATCTGGATGATCGCGCGAGCGAGTTCGGATCGCACCATGCCGAGTCGCACTATGGTTCGGAACTAGGCTCGGAGATATCCCTATCCGATATATTCGGCACCGAGTGTTCCAAGTCCAGCAACGGGACTCGCGGCGGGAAACCCGCGCGCCGCGAGTCGCCTAAGGAAGGGAACGAGCCGCGGAAGGAGGAAGAAGGCAAAGACGGAAAAGGCGGGAAACGAGAAGGGGAAACGAAAGCCGGAGGGGGAAGAGGAGGAGGCGGGGGAGGCGGAAAGGGCGGATGGATACTAGGTGGGGGGAAAACGCGGGGAGCGCACGCGGGGGGAGAGAAAGGGAAGGGGTTCGCGGGGCTGCTGGGCGGGAGGGGGAGCTCCGCGCAAAAGAGGGGAGCAGCAGCGCAAAAACAAAACCAGGCGCAGGAGGGCTCAGAAGAAGAACAACGAGAGGAAGAGAAACAGCAGCAGGGGTTTCAGCTGCCCGTGGGGGACGCGGAGGAGGATTACTCGGCTATTTTCACCAAGGCGCGGGAGGACAAGCGCAACGGGCGCAACGCCCCCATCCTCCCCCGCTTTGCTGGGAACCTCGATGTGAAGGAGGGCGCTGGCGCAGGGGCGAGGGGGTTTGGGGCGGGGAAGCGCGAGGAGGATCCCTGGGGGGCGGAGCAGCAGGAGAGGAGGCGGGCGGCGGAGGGGAGGGGGAAAGGGTGGATTTATGGGCGGTTGGTGGTGGAGACAGAGGGGGAGAAGGGGTGTGAGGAGGGGGAGGATGAAGGGGAGGAGGGGGAGGAGGACGGGGAGGGCGATGGGATGAGTGGTGGGAGCAAGGACGAGGAGATGCTGTCACCTTTGACTCCATCCCCGGTAAGCCAGCGACTAACACTGTAACGCATACTGATGTAGGCGTTTTATGAATTTATATTTTTGTCTCGATCTCGCCTTTGATTCCGTCAACGGTAAGCCAGCAGAGCAGCATCCCTGCTGCTGGTGGGGCAACGCATGTGCTTGCGACCTTCCCTTGGTATACACTGATAGGACACACAACCTACTGCTATGCGTTCCTAACTCCATCTCCCTCCCCTCCTCCTCTCTCCCCCTTCCTCCTCTCTCCTCCTGCAGCTTCCCCGGCGCCGCCAGAGGGTGCTATCAGGTACGCGCAGCACCCCTGCCACACCTCCCTCTGTCATCAGCCCTGCCAGGGCCAGCAGGAGAGCAGGAGGCGCGCCCGCACCCTGGGAGTCCGGGCCAGGCAAGGGCACTGGGGAGAGGCGGCACAGCGTGGGCCTGGGTGGCAATGGCAGTGGTAGTGCGAGCCGCAGCAGGAGCAGCTGCAGCAGCGACACAGAGGCGTTTGGCAGTGGTGGTGGTGGTGCTGCAACCAGTGCCCTTGCTGCTGCTGCCGCCGCCACTGCTGCTGCTGCTGGTAGTGGTGGTGGTCATGGTAATGGTGGTGGTGGGAGTCGGTTTGATGCTGCTGCAGGTGCTGCTCCTGGTGCTAATGCTGCCTTCCCCAGCCGGGTCGACAGGCGGCGCAGCATCGTGAGAAGCGCCAGCAGAAACAGCCCTCGCACCAGTGCCTCTTACTCCACCTCTGCTTCTTCTGCTGCTGGTAGAACTGCCATGAGCAGGAGCCGCAGCAGCACGAGCAACATCGGGAGGAAAGGCGCTGCAGGCAGTGGCAGCACTCCATTCTCACCCTTCTCCCCGCTGCCTCCTGCCCGCGCTGCCATAGACTCTGATGGATCTCCAGCTAATCCTGCCAGTGGCGGCGGTGCTGGTGGTGATGATGGGGATGGTGTTGGTTTTGCTGCTTCGGCTGCAGCAGCTGCTGCTGCGGGAGCGGTGGATTATTCGTTCAAGTTCAACCAGGCGAGGGAGCAGAAGCGCAACGGCAGGCCTGCGGGAATCATTCTCCCTGCATTTGGCGAGGCGATGGCGGCGGGAATGGCTGGGGGTGGCGGCGCTGGTGGTGACACAGCTAGAAATGGCGGTGGGGGTATGGATGGTGATGGAAGCGAGCTCGAGATGATGGCATGTGAGAAAGGCGCCGATGCTGCAGAGGGAGGCGCGGCAGCAGAGGTGGGTGCATGCAGTGAATGCTCAGAGAACTCTTTCCATGTGTGTGTGTGTTGTGTGGTGCTTTCATGCTCACATTGCCTTTCTATGTTGTGTTGTGTGTTGTGCGCTGCAGAAGAAATTGTGGAGGATTCTGTCCAAGAAGATGTTCAAGCAAGGAGTTCACACATAAATGGGCGTTATTACCGTACACCTTCTCTTGCATACCTTTATGATAACATGTGGCTGTTGATAATACAGTAACAAACCTTTCGCTTGCTTTCCTCAACTTACTTTGTTAATCATTTCATTGACGTTATTAGAGTGCATGTGGTAATGTAAAAAAGAGATTGATTTATTGACTTCCTTGGAACTGTACCCACTGAAGTGATATTATAGTAAGGAAATGTAAACTCACTCTTGCCAAATAATAGAACCAGAGAATAAAAAACATGGTTTCTACTCAAGGATGAAGTATAATCTTTATTTCATCAGAACTACATGGAATACTACCGGTATGCTAAACCTCCCATGGAAACAAAAAATATCCAAGAGGATCCGTCTTCATGGGTCAGTGCAAATGGCCTTGAATCAGCCATCCAAAAGTAACACGGCGAACACAAATAGAGCAGAAAGCACAAACAAAAGAAGCAATATGGGAAGTCTACCCAAGTAGGCTGAGACACACACCCCGATTCAGTCATCCACACCATTCCCACAACTTGCCTCACGCCTCCCATCAACCAAAAATATGGGAGGCAGAACAAAAGTTTTGCATGTCCTGCACAGTTGAGAATTCCCTCACTATTTTTTCACTCCCCTCCTTTTTTTTCCTTTGTTTAAAGCCTTTCAGTGTATGTTTTTCAATTTCTAAGCTACTAAATCCTAAGCCTCGGCAGTGACAACTGCAACCGAGCCATTGCCAAGAGCCATGGAGGGCCCAGAGGCAGGGCCTGAAACGTGCATGCCTGGCCGATCCCTCCCACTCCCATTCGCAGTGGCAGCGCCATGTGCAGACGATGATACTACTGCCGGTGCTGCTGTTGCTGCTCCATTCTTTGCTGCCTCTGCTGCAGCTACAGCAGATGCACCTGCTGCTGCTGCTGCTCCCTTGCGATCCTGCTCTGTGCTGCCGCTGGCAGCGGATGGCGCGGGGGGAGCAGGCGAAGGAGTGGCGGCAGCAGGCAGAGGTCCCTGAGAAATGACTCTGATGGGTGCATCGCGCTGCAAGCAACAGGCCAGGGGAGAACAAAAAGAACGCATGGAAAAAAAGGAGAAACATGAGCAACAACAAGACAGCAACAAGTTGATCAGAGCACTAGACAATAGAGATCGAGCGTGTGCGATTGGGAGAGCAGCTTTGCGTCTACGCACGCACCGCAACAATGGGCTCAGAGCGTTGAGGGCGAGACTGGAACCGCTGGTGCTGGCCCCACGCCACCCCTCCTTGCGCAGGCCCCTTATTCCCCACCCCCCCATGCTGCCCCTGCTGCTGCCCCTGCTGCCCCTGCTGCCCCTGTGGCACCCCCTGCCCACCCCCCTGTGGGCCCCCCTGACCCTGCTGCCCCTGCTGTCCCTGCTGCTGCTGCTGCTGCTGCTGGCGGGCGATTCTGCGCTCGTGCATGACCCGCTGGCGCGTGTCGTAGAAGCTGAAGTCGTCCAGAATGGACGTGCGCGTTGCGTAGTTGCGGAAGATCGCCAGCATCTCCTGGCCCTGCGCCTGAGGCACCTGCGCGTCGAAACGGAGGATTGAAAACACAACACAAAAACAGCACGTCAGATGGTGTAGAGTGTTACTTATTGAAAAAAAAAAGAGGTAGAGTTGGAGAGGGGCGGGTGGACGAGAGGAAGGGGAGGGGGGAAGGGAGGGGGGGGGGGGGGGGGGGGGGGGGGGGGGGGGTATGGAGAGGGGGGATGTACTGGGATGGGAGGAACAGAAAGCGTCCATTGATCGGAACAACTTTGCAAAAAGCTGCATCTACCATGCGTGAAGGACACAAGCGTACCTCTTGCGTGTCGCGCGAGTTGGTAACCGGCTTGTTGTCATTCGCAGGCACGACAATATGACGCAGCAGCGCGTTCGGCACGTCCTTGATCACATGCCAGCGCACACTGAACCTCCCATTCCACCGCTCCTCCTCCTGCCAGAACCCCACGCTGCGGTGGAAATCCACCGGACTGACCATCTCCGCCACGCCGCAAAACTGCCCGCTCGCGTTCACAGAAAAGAAGAGGAACACGGGGCACGCGACGCCGCGCGAGCTCGACAGCGCGGAGGCCTCCTGGAACGCGGCGTGCAGGCGCTTGTTTCCGCCTGGAGTGGAGGTCCACACGTTGTACTTAATGCTCTTGTGCACGTCGTCCTCGCTGAAGGATTTGATCACGAAGAACTTCGCCAGCGCGTATGTAACCGGCATGTCGGGCCGGTTCACCTGCAGGCAGCAACCGGACAGGCTGTCGACCGATCCGTCATTTCCGCCAAGCCCCGCGCGGTCGACAAGCGGGGCTCCAGGCGCGAATCCGTTTGGCGGCGTCTGCAGCTGCGCTTGATTACCCGCGTTCCCCGCGCCCTCGGACACGCTCCCGCTGGCGGAGCTGCTTCCGCCGTCGCTACTGGGGCTGGTTGCGCGCTTCCCCGCGCCCTCCCCCATCTTGCCATTCCGCCGGCGGGACGTGCGCGGACCGCGGTACTGGTCCGCCGCAGATCCCAAATGCGCGGTGCCATTCGCGCCCGCCTGACAGCCGTCAGATGATGCGGAATCGAGTTTAAGGCCGTTCATCCCCCCGGTGATTCCGCCGCAACCCCCGTCGTCGCTAGTCTCCGCCTGCCCAGGCGCGCCGGGTTGCGCCCCCGCGGGGCCGGCGGAAGGTCCGTGCGCGGGAAGGACGACAGGGGGAACGGCAGGGGGAGCGAGGAGGAGCGGGGAGTGCGGATGCTGATGGGGATGCTGGTGTTGGTGCTGAAACTCTGGCATGCCTTGATACGGGAGGAAGAAGCCGGGCGGCGGAATTTGTCCGTACTGCATGTCAACCTGCGGTCGAGATCAGATCGCGGATCGGATACACGTGGATGGAAAACGAGCAAAACGGTTAGGAACAAAGGCATTGAAATGGCGAGAAGATAAGGGAGGACCGGGAAGGAAGGCGAGACACTACAACGTGATTGCAGCTACAAACGAAATCTCTCTGACTATGTACAGGAAAAAAAAGGCGAGAAACAAGAACGCAAAAAAGATAAGGATACAAATCCTCCCGGATCTACAAAATCTCACCTGGCCGGGGACAGGAACAAATCCGACCGGAGGACCGTCGGGTCTGACGTCACCAAAGGCGCCTGACGAATAATAGTGAATATGATAAAGATGTAGTGGGAAAAGGGGATCCGTAGAGTGGTTATGCATGCCCAAAGGATCGACGACATGCATCTTATCTGCGTCTCACAAGCAAACATCAGGAATAAGCCATGAAAAGGGCGGGGGGGAAGGGGGGGCAGCATCGAGTCAGCCGGAATTCGGCGCCCTGCGCAATGGTTGTATTTAATCGAAGTGATCCATTAGTTATTACTCGATGGAAAAAAAAAAAAAAAAGGTGTCGAGCGAGAGCGATCGAGAGAGAGAGAGAAGAAGAAGAAAATAAATGGATGGGACGAATTCTTACCGGCAGGCGGCGGGAGAACCGGTGGCGGGTAGATGGGCGGCTGAAACGGAAAGGCATGCGGTGCGTAGAACTGGCTGTTGAACGGAAGTGGGGGCGAGCCCGCGTATGGCACGAAAGCCTGCATGTGAAAATGACAGAACGACAGTGAATGAAACCGTACCACGTGAGCCCGTTGGTAGATCGAACACGGAGAAAAACCTGAACCCAAACCCATCAGAGAGAGAGAGAGAGAAAAAAAAAAAAAAAAAAAAAAAAACGAGTTCGCTCTAAATCATAACCCCTCAAAACGAGAAGTTCGTACCTCGCCTTGACCGTCGACGGGAATGGGCAGCACGGGAGGCGCCGCCGGGGATCCGTCAGGGTTGACTGCGCACGCTCCAACCGCACGCATGTATTCTTCCCACTGCTCAGGGGGCATGCTGCCTGGCTCTCCCATAAACCCTGCACAAATCGACGTCACAATCGCCAGCTCAATTTTCGCGTCGTCCTTTTCTCTGGTATTGCACCGGCAACACAAAAAAATCCAACTTTGCGAGGAAATGACAGGCGTACCTCCAGAGTAGTCGTAGTAGTATTGGGGAAGAAAGCCGTTGCCGGGATAGGCACCGTACGGCATGTCCGGAACGCCGTGATCTGAATTTGGCGCCGAGTTTTGCGGCTGATCGAAGGGAACAAGCGGGTGGATTTGCTCCGATTTGAACTCGGGAGCCGTCGGGGACAGCTTGCCTTGAGTCAGCGCGGGTCGTGCTGGCGGCGCATCAGGAGTTGAGGGCTTGGGCGTCATACTGGAGTCTTTCGTTTCGGTAGTGGTCTGGATAAGTAGGAAACAATTGGGAAAAAAAAAAAAACGGAAAACAAAACGATCGGGTTGACTGGTGGACGTTAATGGATTCCTTCGTGTATGCGGTCCGATAAGTGAAATACTAATTAGTTGGTAAGACTCGAGGGTTGATCATTTGAACATGAAGCAGATCCGTGTGATGCCCATGACTGTTGCGTTGTTGTAGCAAGCATATACGTTACCTCATTTGATTTGGCCGGCTTTTGATCCGCTTTAGATTTTCCGCTTCGGCTGCCTTTGTTGTTGTCTGCTTATGAGAAAAACAACAGGCAAAAAAAAAAAAAAAAAAAAACCAAACGCAAAGAAATCGCAACAATGCGTCTGAGCGCGGTGCCGAAGGATTTGAAAGAATGTTTAGATAAAGGGAATTTTCTCTCTATAAAAAATGATATTTCAAACCCCAGATCCACTCACTCGTTTTTTTCTGAGTCAGCAAAATCCCCGCCATGGCTTCAGATCAGTCGAGTTTATTGCAACGGAGTAAAGAACGTAGCTTGGTCGGTTGTTTGTTAATTAGAACAACGTTGAAGAACAATTCACCGAAGTAGTGGCTGTGAGGACTTCAGATCTGTGAAGGAAAGTGATCTGGTGCTGTTGACAAGGTGTTTGAGCTTCGAGTTGATGGGAGAGAGCAAGGAGAGGGGCGACGAGACAGCAACGAGTCGGACACCTCAGAAAAGGAGGAAATGTGGGGTTGATGTGTTTCATCGAGTCACGCGCCGCCGCTCTTATACGCTCTCCGCCGTTCAAACCGCAAACCCTTTCACACACAAGTCAGCATCAGCCCCCACCAAACCCATCCTTCGTTCCCCCAAACTCCCTCTCTTTCCTTCTCACCTGCCTCAACCAGATTTTCTTCTCATGCTCCTCCCTTCTGCCAGCTCCGCTCCGCCTTCCCCCGGTCGCTGGCATGTGAATATCATATTTTTCATGTAACCCAAAAATGTATCGAGCATGTTTCAAGAATATATAACGTGTCCCAACCACTCCGCTCCTGCACACTGCTCAATTAAGTCTCCCCCTTGGAACATTAGATACCCCCTATATCGCATTTTGAAAAGTTAACTGTACTCACATGTATAGTGTGGTTGCGGAGGCCACTTCCCATTCTCCCCAACCTACCTATTCCCCCCGCACCCGCATTCGTGAACTTGCCAGCCGCAGCGTCCTTGCCAAAGCATCACCCACCCACCCCCTTCAACCACGTCGTTCCCGCGCGACGAGTGGCTGAAAAAACGCCCCCCCGTGGCCAATTTGCTACTGTAATGACGGGGGTTTGTGGTTTATGAGATTTAGCCAGCCCGCCATACCCAGCTGTCACAAGCAAAATGGATCAAAAGAAGTGCACGGGCAGTGTAAATGAAACAGATCCAGATCTACTGATCACCGCAAAGGAGTGATTGATTTGCAACGAAGATTTGAATTTTTGAAACTGAAATTCCACGTGTGACGTGATTAGCTTTGAAAGGTCTCATGCTGACGCTAACGCTTTCTAGTGCGGGGCACTTCGTAAGCGCGAGTACCAATTACAAACACCCATTCACGACCACCTTCTACACAAGTGAACCATTAAAAGGGCAAGTAAGAACATTTTCGGGACAAACGGGGAACATTCGGTGCTCAAAAGTTTGATCCAAATTTCCCGCCAAGATCCTGATTTTTGTTAGGTTTCGTATACTTCTGGATAAGCTACCTCGTCATTGCGCAAAGTTACTACCAAGCAATATCTTATATAAACGCCAGACAAGGACAGAGTCTTGAAAGCTAGCAAAGACCCTGCTGGGGAGGTGGCGAGGCGAGAGTGGCAAGTGGAGGGCACCGTAAGGCAGATGGGCTTGGAGTGGTGATGAGGTGAGAGCTGGGGGGACTGTTTAAGTGCACGCACAACACATGACTTCGACATAACTAATCCAGCAAGTCCGCAAAATCATATAATGTAAACGAAACGTTGAAACTTGAAATCCAAACAATCGTCCAGGTTTTGTCTGACGGCAGAGTCATGCCTCACAGTCTGACATTCAGTTAAAATGCAGGCTTGCATTTTAGTCTTAAATCCCGCACCTCTCAATTGAGAAGCATTTTAGACCAGAATGTCAAATGTTGTAGACTGTAGTGAGGTTTGTCTTAGGGGGTACAGAGGTTAGGGATTAATATATGTACCCCAACTCACAACAATGACATCATCAGTTCCTTTCTTGACATGGTATCACCTAGGTTAGGATCCTGTAGGATCCCACTCCTCCCGACCAGGGCTGACGATTCAAGGGCAAATGCCCTTAATGCCCTGAACATTAAGGGTTGGGTTCGGGCCAGCTTCCAAATTTTAAGGGCTGGCTTTGAGGGCAGCCCGTCCCCGTAAAGTGCTGGTGGTGGGTCTAACCCGGATTTCAAGTGCAGATCCCTCCGCTAGCCCTTATTGTCCCATACTAACACATCCCTCCCTCCCATTCCCTCACCCGTCCCCCCACCTCCTCCCAGCCACTTCCCCCACTTTTCGGAAAATAGTATATAGCGCAAGCCGGCTACTTAACGTATTTCTTGATGTGATTAGCATCGGGCTCCGAAAAAATGTAGGGTTTTCCTTAGCGAAAGTGCAAAAATGCTGGTAGCCCTGATTTCAAGTGCTAGGTTAGCTCTCAGCCCGTAAATTTCAGGGCAACTTTTGGGGCACCTCAGCCTCTCAAGTTCTGGCTCCAAACCAATCGACAGCCCTGCTCCCGACCTCGTTCGTTTCGCCCGTGCCAGTCTCACTCTGTCGTACTAGTTGCGCACGTCTTGCCCGAGCCTAGCGCCGGCCCGCTCTAGTCGCGTTCGTCCGTTACCGCCCGTTCCGCCGATCCACTGCTCTCGTAGCGTAGCGACCTTCTCCCCCCCCCCCCCCCTGCGGCCCGTCGCGTTCCCCCCCCCTGCTGCCCGTCGAGTCGCGTTTTTCCCCCCGCTGCCCGTCGGGTCCCGTTTTTTCCCCCGCTGCCCGTCGAATCGCGCCTTCCCCTGCCCCCGTCGCGTCGCGCTCTCCCTGCCCGTCGTCCCGTCGTACCCTCCCCCGCTGCTCGTCGCGACGCGCCCTCCCCCCGCTGCCCTAAACGCCCGTCGCGTCGCGCCTGCCCGCCGTCGCGTCCCTACCCCCGCTCTACGCGCCCGCCGCGTCGTCCCTACGCCCGCGCGCCCGCTGCGCCCGCGCCCGTTGCCTCCCTACGCCCTCCGCCCTGCGCCCGTTCCCTCCCCGCGCCCTGCGCCCGCGCCTCCCCGTGCCCTGCGCCCTGCGCCCCTTGCCTCCTCGCGCCCGGCGCCCTGCGCCCGCGCCTCCCCGCGCCCTGCGCCTGAGTGCTCGCTGCGCCCGTTTCTACGCACGCCCGCCCTTCGCCCGCTGTGCTGTCTCGTCTCTTTCTGCACGCGTGCCTGCTTGCTCGCGCTGCCGCGTCTGCTCATTTTCTCTGCCACTGCGCCTGCTTGTTCAGCCTACCGCGAGCCCTCCCTCTGCTCTACTACGCGTCCTGTCGCTCGTACTCCCACTATGGCGACTCCTAGATTTCTTCGTTTTGACGCTGACGGTCGACCCCTCGAGTTCTCGGTCTGGCTCCCGCGCGCGCGTCGCCTTTTAGAGAGTCAGGTCCAGGCAGGTGAGTCCCTCTGGGCGCACGCTACTGGTGACCTTCCTGCGCCCGACGACCCTGCGTCTTTAGGCTCTGCTCCTGACGACGCTGCTAGAGCCCGCTTTGCCAGCCAGCGTGCTGACCTGACGGCGTGGAAGTCGCGTGACGCTGCGGCCTGCATCGCTCTTAGCAGCCTCCTCCCTGAGTCTGAGGAGGCCCACTTCACTCAGGTTCGCACTGCTAGTGAGTTCCTGACTGCGATCAAGGCCCGCTATGCTACTCCCACCACTGTCTCTCTTGGCCGACTCTTCCTACCGTTCTTGTTCCCAGACCTAGCTTCGTTTGAGCGCTCTGCTGACTTGATTGCTCACCTCCGCTCGCTCGATTCTAGCTACCGCGCTGCTTGCACTGACGCACAGCTTGCACTGCTCCCCCCTCCCATGGCGATTACTATCTACTTCATCGCCACTAGCCTCCCTGACCGCCTTGCCTCGGTTCGTGACGCGCTTCTCCTGAAGCACCCTAGTGAGCTCACTATCGAGGTCCTTGAGTCTGCGCTCAAGGACGTCGAGAGCAACCTCCGCTCGGTAGCCTCCGCCTCTGGTGCTGTGCCCCCTCCACTGTTTCACGGGTGCACTGTCCCTCAGCTGCCCACCTTTACTGCCTCCCTCGCCACTGCCACCACTGACGTGACCGCTGCTGCTGTTACGGCTTCGTCGCTTTCTCGGAGTAGGGGTGGCAAGAGGGGCGGTCAGGGTACAGGCGGCGGCGGCGGTGGCGGCGGAGGGAGTGGGGGTGGCGTGCCGACCGGTGGCGGTGGGAGCGCAGGGCCTGGAGAGGCGTCTCGTGCAGCGGCCAGTGACTCCCCTACTGCAGCTGGTGGGGGCGACTCTCGGGCTCGTCAGCCCCCCCCTGGTCTCCCTGCCGCAGTGGGTGGAGCGGCGGCGTTGTACCTGGCCCAGCGGCAGCAGCAGCAGCAGCAGCCCCTCCCCTCGCAGCAGCCCCCGCAGCAGCAGCGGCAGCAACAGGTTCCGGCGCCCGGCCAGCGTCAGCCTCAGCGAGGTGTTGTTCACCCTTCGTGCACCTACCAGCTTCTGACATGTACTCGCCGGGGCCAGCTTTGTGGCCGCACCCACCCTCCTGGTCAGTGTTTTGCTCAGCTCACTGACACGGCTCCTGGTCCCCTCTTGTTCAGACGTACGGCTCTGCTCTGTGGGGCATGTCAGCTCATCAGTTGGTTGATCTGTTAGGAACTCCTTATGCTATGTATGCTGTTGTTGACTCTAGTGCTTCTGACTCTGTTTACTCGCAATGGTGATGTTAGCTTAGGTGCTAGTCTTGCTGAGTTGCCTGTTGCTAGTGTAGGCACTTGTGTAGACACTAGTCCGGGAGCTCCTTCAGAGGACCCTTCGCTGTCTTTCGCTTTGGACTCTGGGGCTTCGTACTGCTTCTTCCGGGACCACACCACCCTTACTCCGCTTCCTTCGCCAGTCTCTGTGGCACTGGCTGATCCCACCTCGGGACCAGTCACTGCTCGCTACACTACTACTCTTCCGTGCCCTGCTGTTCCCTCTGGGTCTCTGACTGGCTTCCACGTCCCCTCGTTCTCGAGGAACTTGGTGGGCGTGAGGCCTCTTGTGAGTCAGCACGTGGGTGTGTGGATTGAGCCCTCTGGTGAGACGGCGGTTTGTGTTGACGGCGACACTTACTCGCCCCTTGACACCTTTACGGCTGAGCCGGGCTCTGGTCTCTACACACTTCACACTGGCCCTGGTGGGCAGCAGCAGCAGCAGCAGCAGCAACAGCAGCAGCAGCAGCAGCAGCAACAGTAGCAAGCAACAGCAGCAGCAGCAGC